AATAGCTCGCTAGCAGCCTCGGACCGATGACCTATCCACGTCATCATTTACCCAGAATGCTTTGTGTGTAAATAAAATGGCTCTGTCCGTGTTAAAATATATTTTTAAAAATTATAAAAACTAAACAGCCTACAGTAATTTTACAGTCTTTATTTTACAGTTAAAATAAATGTTTATCAAATAAAGTCTAAAGTTACAACTAATCAGAGATCCCTTTAACAATTTCTTGTGATTTTAAAAAGAAGTGCGTCTTCTGTGTCAGAGCGGATGTTATGTACATTCATTACACAAGATCCCATTGCAGCTCTCATCTCTGTATTGTATGTGTTCACACTGTATTTTCAGACAGTCCTCCTACACTACAGTGTTTGTGCCAGCATTAACTGAGTTAGCTGAGTACCACTTCCATCTCGTTACACACACACTCTTGTAAAGCAGCAGAACTCTCCATGTCCACAACTTTCACATTACATAAGCCTGTCCACGCTCTGCACAGTTAGCATTTCTCTGCCATGGGGCAGGTATGTTCAAAATGAACGTTGGAGAGTTTTAGACTCCTTCCTGTTTTCTAATGTGGCTTTTCTTCTCTTTCAGAGCCTGAGTCGTGAGCAGACGATGGATAAGTCTGCAGCTGAGGACAGGTGAGCGGTTTGTTTTAAACGGTTAAGATTTATGAAGCAGCGCTGTGTAATTTGTGGAGTATGTTTTTGTTTTTTAGCACAAGCCTGCTACCTGTGCTGGTGGAGGAAGAGGAGAGCGTGCAGGACGGTGCGACAGTGCCTGGTAGGAAGAGAGAGATGCAGTTTGTTTACTCCTTTCTTCTTAAACCACCCACGCTTTATTTCATTTCCAGGGACGGATCAGGCTACCTGCAGCGGGCCGAACATCAACGCTGAGAAGAGCGCTCCTCGGCCGGGGTCATCAGTCAGCAGCCAATCAGGAGGGGGAATGAGCGACACGACCTTTGACCCCAGCAGCACGGAGCTAAGCGGGGACAAAAAGGAGTCGATTCTAAAAAACAAAAAGGTACCGCTCCACTGCTCTTCCTCATTAAAATCACACAAATGTATCTGCATGGTGTGTTTGTGATGCTTTGAGTTGAACTGATACAAAAACATGAACAAATTGGAGGAAGTGAAATTTTAAATCCGCTCCAGGCAAGTGTTACGAAATGCCAAGATCATGTTGTGTGAAGATGGTGCCGTCGTGATAAAATTCCTCTGATTCGGTGCAAACCAAACGTGACTGAAGGCTGAAGAAGAGTCGTCCTTCCTGCCCAGCAAGTCGTCGAGTTTTCGGTTTGGTTTTGGAGTTCTGCTCGCGGTCGCAGCGCTTCCAGTTCACCTCCTTTCCTCTGTGGAGATGAGTGGAAGAGGAACGCAGTGAAAGAATGGACGTGAAGGAGGACGTCGGGATGGAGGGATCGGAGCAGAGGGAAGAGACGGGTGCAGAAGGGAGGGTCATGTTTGTGCGTGTTTTACAGGAGCTGACGCTCAGCTTGGAGAGCAGGGAGAAAGTTCAGGAAGAGCCCAGTGAGCCCGGTGGGGCTTCTCGCAGAGGATGTACGTAAAAATCTATAGTTTGGTTCAATCGGTTTGCTTTGAGGTTTACTGTGGCTGTGGTTTCTTTTAGCTGACACTGCTGGGATTTCTGAAACTGATGTTTACAAAGAAGACAAAAACAGGTAAGATACTGATTATATCATCTGAAATGAGTTATTGTGTGAACGCTTCACAGCATTCACATCATGGAGATCATTTTTTCTGCCGTACGTTTTTCTGCATCAAACTCGTTCCACAATTTTTCTGCCTTTTCAACAACTCATACATCAAAACATTCAGCTCATTTATGACAATCCTGCTATGACTTTTTGTATTTCAGCTATTTTTACTTTTTCAGCTATTTCTCTTTTTTAGCCACTTATTTTCCATTGAAAATGAATGAAGCTGTTTTCAACATCTTTAAAATCCTTTCAAATGTTTCTAAATCTTTACAGCATCTTACACCTTTTGTTCTGGTTCTGCTCTTTTTAACTTCCTTGTGCTAATTTGAGCTACTTTTTTTGTTAATATTGACTTTTTTCTGCTATTTCAGCTGAAATTCAGCTTCTTTCTGACATTCTTCTGCTTTTTTCTACTAAKTGGTGCCAATTCTGCTTCATACAGGAGTCTTCCACTATTTTCAGCTATTTGTTGCAACTTTAGCTAATTTTCAGCTGTTAATAGCTAAAGCTAGCATTTTTTAAACTAGTTTTGTAGCTGTTATAACCTTTTTCTGCTAATTTCTGCAACCTTGTGCTCCTTATGTTTAATTATGCTAATTAAAGAATTTCCAGCTACTTTTTTGTACTTTTATGTATTTTTTTCTGCTAATTTTAAATTTAATCACTTTCACTATTTGTGTGTTAATTACAACTTGTGGCTGCTACAATTAGCTTATTTTATGCTAATTTTAGCTTTTTTGCTGTTTTAACTATAGACCTGCTTCTTCCTACAATATTCAGCTATTTTAGCTTTCAGATGTTTTCTGATTTTTCAACTATATTTGCTGTTTTTTTTCTGTTTTTCTGCAAAGTTGCTTCTTTCAACCATTTAAATTTGAACTCTCATGAACACTTTCACTATTAAATATTTTCAGCTGAATTTCAGCAGTGTTCAGCTTAAGTTTTCAGCAAGAAGCATTCATACTAACATTTTTACAGGAAATAAAATTAGTTAATTATCTTTTCTCTGCAGTTTGTCACCTAGCGATAAGGAAATTGAGGTAAATATAACTAATTTTCCTCTGTTGATTTATTTTCTTAATGATGGTTAAAAGTTGTTTTTAAGGTGAAATCCACTTTTTTTCCCTTCCAGGCAGAGTTCCAGCGCCTGGCTCTTGGGTTTAAGTGCGACATGTTCACCCTGGAGAAGAGGCTTCGGCTGGAGGAGCGGTCACGTGACCTCGCTGAGGAAAATGTGCGCAGGGAGGTGTCCAGCTGCCAGGGTTTGCTGCAGGTTCGTATTCAAATCTGCAGCTTTGGTTCTCAGGTTTCTCAGACCTGACGAACCGTTCACCCATCTCCTCTTAGGCTCTGACTCCTCTGTGTGAAGACGACAGCCAGTCCATGGAGATCATCCAGAGGCTCAAGAAAAACCTGGATATTCTCATCCAGTCCATGACCCGAGTGTCCAGCCGCTCTGAAATGTTGGGAGCCATCCACCAGGTCGGTTGATTCGTTTGCTTGTGACCAACATGAAACAGTTATTAATGTGAGAAATTATCATTGCCTCAGGAAGGTTTTTGCCGCTCCATGAGTTGTTGTCCTGATGCATCTCAGTAATCCAGGTAAAAAATCAAAAGGAAAAAAATTGTATAGGTCCTCTGGACAGGTTCTTCTTTAATGAAACGTTTCGTCTCTCTTCCAAGAGACTTCTTCAGTCTGAGAGTTTCAGGCWAAATTCAGGCTTTTAWGTCCTGCCTCCAGGTGACTGATACTCACATCACATGGCTATGGTTCACAGGTGACTCATACTCACATCACATGGCTATCGTTCACCCTAATTAATACCTATTGTTAACAGAGGGTGGAGTGATACTGCCAATGACAGCGCTGTAGGAGGGGGACAGCTGAAAACGGAGGCCCCCACCTCTGTTTAATGATGGACGGTCTTTCTTTACAAAAATGGCTTCTTTTACTCCTCTCTCAAACCAACGTTCCTCCCATCCTCCCTATTCAGACTGAAGAAGTCTCTTGGAAGAGAGACGAAACGTTTCATTAAAGAAGAACCCGTCCAGAGGACCTATACAATTTTTTTTCCTCATGAGTTGTTGTGTTTCGAATGTGCCTAAAAACTGACAAATTATATTTTAAAAATATTAAAACGTTTTTAATATGACTTTTAAAAGTAAAAGTTGAGTCCAAAACAAATCCTAGATATTTAAATTTCTCTACTTTGATTTGTTTTTGATCAATATAGATAGGTGGAGCAGAGTTAAGTGTTTTTTTCTTAGTGAAGTACATTGCCACTGTTTTATTCACGTTTAATGTGAGTGAGGCTGAAGTTAACCAGTCTGTGATTTTTAACATAACACTAGTTGATTTGTTAGCTACTGTGGTCATATTATTTCCATGTACATAAATCACAGTATCATCTGCATACATCTGTATGTCCACATCACCACATACTGGGGGGAGATCATTTATGTAGAGTGCAAACAACAATGGCCCAAGAACAGACCCCTGTGGTACACCCATGTTATTAATTTTAGATGTCCACATCAACCTCCACGTCTTGGTTTATCAGGAGAACCGCATTGGCAAAGCGGTGGAGGTGATGATCCAACACGTGGAGAACCTGAGGAGGACGTACACCAAGGAGCACGCCGAGCTGCTGGAGCTCAGGGAGGCGCTCATGCAGAGCGAGCGCTCCTTTGGATCCCAAACGGAAAAAGGTTAAAAGTGTACGCTCGTGTTCCTCTGAGTCAAACGGAAGTTATTTAACAGAATCATTTCATTTTTTACCGACAGATTATTTTCCTGGCAAGAAACCGTTACAAAATAAGGTCAGCTGCTGTTTATTACTCTTTATTTATTGTTTTTTAACGGCACCTGTAAAAAGTTTAATGTTTAGTCCGCCAGGAGAGTCAGCATCGAACCCATCGCCCGCTCCGGGGGCAACATGCAGTTTGATTTGGTGAGATCTTTATTTAAAACTCTTAATAATAAACTCTTAAATGAAGAAATTAGTTTGATTGAAGAGTTGTTTTTATTTTAAACAGGCTAAACTCCAGGAYGGTTCAGAGGCAGACACAGAGAAACTGAGCAGGCGAACCTCCTGGTAGGTGATTGATTCAAGATGAACTAAAAGATTGATTCAAATCAGTTCCAGTGGTCCTCAAGTGTCTAAATGTTCTTCTGTGGGCTTATCGTGTTGTGTTCGGGGGGGTTGTTGTTGATAACGGTGGTTTTCAGGAATGTGGCAGGGAAGAGCATGATGCGCCCCCCACTAAAACGTTTTGTTAGCTCTGTGGCCTGGGTTGATACAGAAGAGCCCTCTGTCATGATGAAGGGGTAAGACACGTCCAGGAGCTGGATGCCTCGCTGCCTGCGGGGTTTTTATGTTTTTGTTTCAATAAACAAGAAACCCACATGCAAAAAAGACGGCAACTTCCTGGTGTGAAATTCCAGCTGCTCGACTCTCGTTCCAAATGAAATGTYACTGAGTATCTGTTGTTTTACATTAAAATAATATAATGAAGATGTGCAGAAACTGGCTGCAAAGACAATGCAGTTGTGACACCAAACCACACAGCAGCCATCTTTTATGCATCTGGTCCAGCAACTTTTGCATGGGGAAGTGCTTTAAACATTTGCTGTTTTATTCATTTATTTATTTATTAAACACATTAACATCTGAGGTGTGCCTCCTGTGCTCATATGAAAATGTTTAAAATGTAAAATGTGGCTCAGGGATTTAACCTTGCTCCGCTTGGACTGCATTAAATTAAAAATTTAGATTTTTAATCATGATTTAAAATGAAAAAAAAATTTGCCTGCTTTTTTTTTTTTGCTGCTCGTGCACATTTTTTCCATATGCATGTAATTACAGAGAACCAAAACTGATATAATTAGAAATAAAAGCAGAAATATATAAATGGATCAATAAACAAATAAATACACTGAAAATACATCAATTAAATCAAAAAAGGAAATCTTTATCTCATGTTTCATAATTTAATTGACCATATATATTTTTCAAGCATAATTCCAATAAATTATATATTTATATATAAAACAAAGGCGCAGGTAAGTGTTTTCGTTTTTATTTTTAACTAAACTTTAAACTGAGGCAGCAGCAGCACAATAGATCTGCACATGGGTCCTGCTGCTTCCTGTCTCTTGACCAATAGGAGAGGAGCTGACCTAAGAAGCCCCGCCCACTTTATTTGCATAATGAAACAGAAATGCATAAGATAGTAAAAACAGGAGACAGAAAAATGTAAGACTTGTGTGAAAAATTATAAAATATAATCATTTGAGACACAGATGCATGCACAAGTAAAAAGAAAAAACAAATATGTATTTTTAAAAACAGTAAAATAAGTGCTAAAATATATAATTTATTGGAGCTAAGCTGGAAAAATAATAATGGTCAGTTAAATGATTAAACATGAGGTAAAGTTCTCATTTTTAAATGTAATTGGTGCATTTTAAGTGTTTATTTATTGGTCTGTGTTTATATATTTTTTCTTTGATTGTCAGTTTGGGTCCTCTGTATGATCTGTGACCGTGTGCTCACGTGTGAATAAGCTGCTGACTTGTGTTTGTGAAAGCATGGCGGCGCACGCCCACTGGCCCACCTGCGACGACACGGACRGCCAGTCTGAGGACGAGCAGAAGGAGGAGCAGGAGGAGCTGGGGGAGAGGAGGAGGTCCAGTCTCAGTGAGCTGGGCAGCAAACTCACCTCCCTCATAATGCCCCTGAAGACGTTAGTCCAAACCCAAAAACCCAGTTCTGGGACGAGGGCTGCACAGTGGTCCCACTGGTTCTAACATCAGAAAGTTAATGTCCGTTTTTAAAATATTGGAGCTCTTTTTATTTTTTTATTTGTAWAACTTTGAACTCGTGGAACCACTGTGTCAGATCTGTGCTGGACCAGCTGCTTTACTTTCAGGACTTCAGATCATTTTAATGTTTTTATTCTTCAAATATTCTTCCTTCAGCGTTTCACCAGCTTCAGATCAACGTGACAAATAATTTTTATTTTTCATGCAGTTGATCATCAACCATGATTCTAAAGGAGTTGGGATGTTGTGTAAAATGTAAATCCTCACTTTTCAGGGTTCCTGCAGACCCTTAAAAAGTCTTCAAAGGCATTGAACTTATCAGTCTAAAGTTAAGACCTTAAAGTGATCCCCGATTAGTTGTAACATTAGATTTTATTTAATAAACATATATTTTAACTGTAAAATAAAGACTGTAAAAATACTGTAGTCCGTTTAGTTTTTATAATTTTTAAACAAAGTTTAGAACGGACGGGGCCATTTTATTTACACACAAAGCATTCTGGGTAAATGATGACATGGATAGGTCATCGGTGCG